ACATTTTACGGAGATGGTTCAATTTGAGTCATTTGTTCTTTTACTTCCTTATCTACAGGCTAACTAATAACCTATCAAGAGAGTGTTTTTTTTTAATTAGTTACTACAACTACATTTATCTTTAGCTGACTGCTTTTATAATAATAATAATAATAATAATAATAATAATAATAATAATAATAATAATAAGTTTTTCTTTTTCTGGGGGGTACATATGTAAATTCTAAACATGTTAGCTGGCCACGTCCTAGACGCCCAGCTTTCGTGTATATAGGTTCTGGCATCCAGACATTTTGACTGCCATAATAATAATAATAATAATAATAATAATAATAATAATGATCGTTTATTCAAACATTTTTGCAGCGTAGACTGAGTTACAAGGCGGGTCATTAATCACAAATACTTCTACGTTACACCTAAATATAACTGTTGTAGACATCAATTAAATGTAAATATTGAATACAATGTAAATATCAAATACTATGAGTATTAAGACGAATGGTAATTCGGTATTTTAAACGTGGTTCTGGTATTTGATGGTCCATTTTCCAACATATTTTCTTGATGATATATATCACTGTTGTAAAAATACACATTTTGATATGTGCGTTTTTGTCTTCGGTAAGGCTAATTTAAAAATTGAACGCACTCGAGAACTAAGACAAAAAAAATCACTTATTTTACCGGAAGCTTTTCATGAATATTAATAGACAGCTGGGCCTTCTTGTGATCAACTGATTGTGGTTGCTGTTGTTGTCGTGTTTTCTTAATCTACGCCCATTCTAAATGACTATAAAAATAAATCCTACCTATGTTTTCCTCCAGTGCCTATGAAAGAAAACGTGAAATATCTACAATAAGTCACAGTGAGGCAAATTTGTTATCAGACCAAACTGCAAAATGTAGTAGAAAAATAATGAAATTTACCTTTCTTGCGTAACCAGATAATGTAATTGAACAACACAAGGATTACTAAGACAAGCACTCCAACTATGGATATATACATGACGTCACGACATGAGCACTTGCATTCTTCTTGAGCTGAGGAAAAATGAACAAGTCGCCCCTTTTAGCCACCTTGCACAAAGCATTGTTGAACAGAGGTGTTAGAGATCGGTTGGTGATACCAAATTTTCTCTCCCCCCTAACCAGCATTGTGAAAGAGAGACTCAGGTAAAGTCCAAATACTAGCTTTTCATTAATTCCTATAAAAATTGGTCTATTTTGAAGAATAGATTGACCGATGCATTCAGGCCAGTGAAAAAAGTCAAGAAGCTCCGACTATTGATTATCAGCAACGGACCGTTAACCAATTGAGAGGGCGAAGGATATAACTCCTGTTATTGACGAAGAGGATCTCAGTCTTTCTTTTTTCTGAGAGGAAGGGGGGGGGGGCAACCCTGAACACACCTAGATGATATTATCCATTATATTTACGCGTCAAACTCGCTCGATCCCTATTTAACTAGAACCAGAGAACTCAAGGTCAGGGTTTTGTGTTTTTCATCTCTCGTTCCGTCTGGGTAAAGGTCACTCTAGAAGCCAGGTCTCCATTATGCCGACCCAGAAACAAATATACCTGATCAATATCATCATTGCCTCTCTGGTTGTTGTTTTGTAGATCTACAACTTTAACTCTTTTGACCATCGTCTCTTCGACCAAACTTTCACCAAGTTCATTTGTGGCAGTGATTGTAAATTCATACACCTTGCCTCTCTCTAACTTGACCGTCAATTTATTAATTGAAACTTCCCTGATTTTCCTTACGACTGTCCACTCTCCTACTTTCCCGTCAGTCACTAATCTTTGGTACACAGTGTACTGTGTAATTTTTCTTCCATTATCTTCTGGCTCCCTCCACTTCAAGGTGATTTCACCATCTGTTGTTTCTCTGGGCCGGCCATATATTTCCACTGCTGCTGGGGGACCTTAATTGACATAAATATGTACTACATAGTGTCCACAATGTCACGCTAACCGAATGTTAAAAATTCAAATTTTTCTTTAAGTAGGGTAAGGAGATAGACGCATTCTTTTTATACTCTTAAAGAAATTGCTTACCTTCAAACTTTGTCTTCACCATGGTTACAACAGGATCTCCTTCAAACATAACATTCCTTGCAAACACTTTTACCGCATAGCTTGTATCTCTCTTCAAACCACCAAAAGTATAACTTGTTTTACCAGGATCGGTAATATTAACACTTTTCATCTCAGCGTCACCCTTTAGTATAATGACCATGTATCCTGTGATAGGACTCCCTCCATCATCAGCTGGTGCAGTCCATCGTACTGTTAGTGAACTGGCTTGAATACTTTCTTCTGATGATACTATGGATGGTGCACCTGGTTTTTCTAAAAAGAGTAAACAAAAACTTAAACTTTCCATTTTTCCATAATCACATCAAAATATAACGATATGACCAATCGATAAAGTACATATAGCGTAAGGTGTTAAACTATTCTGCTCACTTGATATAACCAAATCAATGGTCGAAACTGAGAAAGTATACCTTGTGTTCCTAGAAAGAGACTGAAATGAGGTTTTTAATGATGACTTTTGTTTTTAGCCTAAGATTTGTTTATTTCGATAACAATACACCCCTCACTGTGATAAGTGACGCTCCATTAAATGCTGTTGGGTTACAATGTCGGTATTGCATAAGTTTTACCGACAAAATCACAGAGCTGATGTTAGGGAAGTGCTAATATTTCCGCAACTCCGACTGTGTGGTTCTTACCAAGTCACACAAGTTTGCGAAATAAAAATGTAAGGGCACGAAAGGTCCATTTTACTGTGCTGATCTCACAAGCATCTCACGCCTGTCAGCGGTCGCTCTAACATTCCTTTGACTTATCTCTCATCCTACTTGCCAGGCTACATATAAACTTTTGATCACACTAAATTCGTATGATAAAAGTATTGCGCTAATTAAGAAACGTTAATGTTTTCTCATTCCCTAATTAACAGCGGAAGAGATACGAAACAACAATTTTGGACAGTTCCAGGTTTTTTTCCCCTGAGAAATGCTTTCCAAGCTGACGTGATCAACGCTTAGCAACTAAACATCAAGTAATTCTTACTTATCTGTGTTATTTTGACAATTCTTTCGTCAGACGGACTCAGTCCATTGACAGCAATGCACTTGTAGTCACCAAAATCTTGATCTTCCCTAAGCGTCACTTCTGCTTTGTTTTCTCTGGCTCTGATTCTGTGTATTTCTTTTTCATTTGGTTTGTACCAGGTGAGTGTTGGTGTGGGAATACCGTCTGAAAGACACTTCAAAGTCACCTTCTGACCAATACCAGAATAACCGGATGAAGTAGTCACAATTTGTATGGTTGGAGGGTCTGTAAAGTGAACAAGTTTACCCATTGATTTTGACAACTGGCAGGTAACGCAATTTGTGTCCTGAGTGTCCTGTTGTTGATGTAATCATTGATTATCATTTCATAATTGACCATAATGATAATTAACAATTATTCCACGAGCGCGCGTTGGATATGAGATGATAGATAGCCAACGAGGCGC